TCTGGTTTATTCACTTAGCACAGTCCCTTCTAGTTCTATCCATTTTACTGCAAATGGCATGAGTTTATCTTTTTGACTGCTGAGTAGCATTCCATTGTGTATATATACTGTCTTGTTGATACACTCATTTGTTTTGAGGCACTTTGATTGTTAATGTATCTTGACTATTTTCCTTTTGAATTAGTGTTATTGTATTTTTGGGTAGCTACCTAAGAGTGAATTGCTGGGTCATATAGAAGATCCATTTTTGTTCTTTTGACACTGCTTTCCATAAGATCAGGACCAGTCTACAGTGCCATCAACAGTGTAAGAAGGTACAGTTTTCTCCACAGCCATGCCAGCACTTCTTGTTTCTGCTCTTTTTGAGAAAGGCCATTCTCACATGTGTGAGCTGTTATCTCATTGTGGTTTTGATTTGTGTTTACCTGATGATAAGTGATGATGAACATTTTTTTATGTGCCTGTTAGCCATCTAACTATCTTATTTAGAGAAATGTCTATTTCACACTTCTGCCCATTTTTTGATTGGTTGTTTCAAATACGGCATTTCTTTTGACCCTGACTTCTACATATTTGCCACACTCCCCAACAGCTGGTGAATGTTCCGTTTGCCTCAACAATAATTCTCCTACCTCCCTCATCTTGTTTCTCTCTTACTTTTCTCCTATTCCAGGCCACCCCATCTTGCCTAATTTTCTGAAAGGGTAGTCTATAAACTAGCCTACCTCCTTCCTTTCCTGATCAACATCGCCAAACCAACTCTTCACCACTAGTACCAAAAAAAAAAAAAAAAAAAAAATTCCCATTCTTAAAGGAACATGCACTATACCATTACTTTGACAAAAAACATATATATATGTATCAAGTATGCTCTCTAAGTGTTCCAACCTGACTTTCTGTTCTGATCCTTTACACTGTACACTCCTAGTTTTCACCCCAAAACAATTTAGCATCACTTGCTTTATACTTTGAAGCCCTTGGAAATCATTTTCTACCAAGAAATTATCCATCCACCCAGCATAATATATTCATCCATTTATCTGTATTTTTTTAAAACAATTTCTTTTTTCTTTTAGTTTTATTTATTTATTTATACAAGCACTGGGTACAGTCAGAAGCGCAGGAGGGTGAGAGAATTCACCAGAGCCAGAATGGGAGCAGAACAGGCAGAATGACGAAGTACACTGTTGCAGAGAGCAGCAGGCATCAGGAGAGGTCTGTATGCCATGTGGGACCCTTGCCGGAGGCCAGGGATGGAACTGGCACTGCAGAGGCTGCGGGCAGCTTCGCAACCCAGCGCTCAACCACTGCACCACAGGGGAGGCCCTATCTGTATTTCTTTTAACTGAGAAGTCACGACAAACCCTTCCATCATACACTGAGTGTTATGTTTCTCTTCTGCTCCTTTACAGTGATGCTGGCTCTCTGTGATCACATCTACTGCCCTGTATACAAGATAATGGCCTGTGTGTATGTGGAGCCCCACAGCATCAAGGCCTTCACCATAGAGCAATTGCCCAAAATGCTAGTTGATTTGACTTTTCAATATCGGAGATTTGGGGAGTTATAAAGAAACCAAGAAATCTTCTGGTATAATATATTCATTTGAAATGTTGGTTAGTAATAATCCTTAGTTAGTAATAATCAGCTAGTAATAATCCTTTGAATTTCTTATGTAGCAAGATCTTTTACCTCTGTCTTTACAAATGCTCCAAAGGGAGGCTAAAGTAATTGTTTTGTACCTGTAAATTCACCCTTGGGATAATAGGAGGTATATAACAAGTCGTATTTGTAAAGTGGTTCAGAGGTCCAGACATTTGGCATGAAAAATACGGGTGTTGGCTCTGCTATCACTAGTCACATTTTATTCAACTGTTTTGTCTTCAGAATTGTTGATAATAATTTGTTATTTATAAGTAATAGCTTCCAGCTGTCCCAGCTTCTATTCACCTTTTTTCCTAACCAACTCCAAAACACTCCCTTTTTGGTACATCTTAAAGATATTGTATGGCATAAAATGATATTTATATAAATATAGATATAATTATATACATCTATGGATAGCTATAGAAATATAGATATATAGATAGATACATACAGCTCTGTGTCATACAGAAAAGATAATTTGGATTCATAAAGTAAATTGAAGATTTTTTTTTAAAGATTTATTTATTTGTGGGCCTCCTCCAGTGGCTCAGCGAGCTGAACTCAGCGCTGTGAAGCTGTCCACAGCCTCTGCAGTGCTGGTTCGATTCCCAGCCAGCCAGGGAGATTCCCACATGGAGCTGCAGACCTCTCCTGTCTCACCCGCTGCTCCCCTCAGCAGTGTATTTCGGTCAGTCTTCCTGTTCTGCTCCTCACTCTGTCTGGTGAATCCTCTCACCCTCTCGCTCATTTGGCCTGTGCCCTGGTTCTTGTATGCATGAATAAATAAATCTTTTAAAAAAAAGATTTATTTGTATATGCATGCAAGAACTGAGGTGTAGATCAGAGGTGTGGGGGGTTAGAGGATTCACCAGAGACAGAGTAGGGAGCAGAACAGGCAGATCTACTGAAATATGTTGCTGAGGGGAGCAGTGGGTGAGACAGGAGAGGTTTGCCATATCATGTGGGTTATCTCTTTGTCCTGGGATGGAACTCACATTGCAGTGGCGATAGCTTGACAGTGCTGTGTCTTTAACCCCTGCGCCACCAGGGAGGCCCTTAATTGAAGATTTTAATTAAGTGGAAAAATGAAAGTTCAAACACCATATTACTATCTTGGAAAAATATGGCTATGTCGTCATTGGTGGTCATATTAGCAAAACGTGTCTCACATTTCTATCAGTGGTGGCACTGCATCAGATAGAAATTCAAATCTGCCTACTTTAGGAGAATAATTTTAATAATTCCCTCTATATATCAGACAGAACTTCACTGTTCCCCAACTATGTGATTATTTTAATGATTTGAAGTTTTAATTTAACTTAAATTCAACTTGTATTTTACTTGGCCTATTTTATTACTGTTATAAGAGATACAGTATGTTATTTACAGCCTTGGTTTTAACACTGACTGAAAGGCAAAAAGGGAAAACATTTCAAATCCCACTTAACTTGCAAGACTTCAAGCTTTATAAACTGAAATGACAAATGTCTGATTTCTGTAATTCAATTACTCACAATTAGGTTGTTTTTGTCATAACAATCTGTGGTGAAATGTAGCAGGAAACTAGATAAATAACAAAAAAAGATGTGATTTTAAAAGCAAAATTCAGAATTTAGGAAGGCACTCTGAAGTTTTAATAGGAACCAGATATTACAGACAAACCCCAGGTATAGGTAGCTGGAGATTTCTAATACAAGGAAATTTGAGGGATTAAAGGTAATAGGTAAGTTTTAAAAATGTCTTTAACCAGATGACCATTATAAGAATTCCAGATCCATCATCAATTCATTACCCTTTTCCCCAAAATTTACATTAGATAAACATAGGCACTTTTGTAAAATATAAGGTGGGGATGTTAGGGGGAAAAGGATGTCCTAAAGCTAATTCCATACAGGCTTCGTGGACTCCACCCCCACCCCAGGCCAAAGCCAAAGACACTGGGAACTCCAAATCCCATCACCACCAAAGGGAAGGTGGCTGGGACCTGAGGGTGGGGTTAAGCAGCCAAGTGAGTATAAAGACAGACATGTGGGCTTTTTTGGGGGGGCGTCCTCCATTTTGGCTCTCCACCAGCTCACAGCGTCTGGCCAACTCTGAGAGTGACTTTGGGTTTCCAGGTCGGCGGATCGGGTGGGACGCATTAAAGACTTTATTTCCCTATTTTCTCCCTGAGTTGTACATTTTCCTTATTTCCTTTTCCCTTGTAAATAAACCTTTTATTAACCTTTTGCGTGTGCCTGTAGTTGAGTATTAATAAGTCCATTTTAAGCGCGCGGATGAGGACCCACAGCCAGGCAACCCGTTCAATATCGGGGCTGCCCTATAACAGCGACACTAATCTTTAAGGAGACTCTCTCCCCTAATGATTCTTTGGAAGGTTAGATCTAAATGACGTGGCTCAAATTCCCAGTCTCTAAAATTATACAATGCAACAAATGACATATGAAGAACTAAAAGATTTAAAAACACTTTCTCTCTGAGTTAATTGCATTAGAGGACAATCTACTGTTTAGATTGAGAGACCTCACACCACACCAGTCAAAGCAAATCAGAAACTGGCCATTGCTACCACAGTCACTCTTTCTGGGTGTTGTACAGACTTCATCCACACAGTCAGGTGAAATAGTCTAAGAGGTAAAGGAGAGAGGAAGTGACACTGCAGCTCTTAATTTCTAGGATAATGCATTTTCTTCAGCCCAGTCCTAGCAACTACTGACCCCATCAACGTGGTGTAAGACTTCCTGGAGGGATATGGAGTGAAGTGGGCATTCCAGAGCCCCAGCTAAAAATATGACATGCATGGAAAAAATACCCCATTTTTCTACCAGACACTTTTGCCCACTGTCCCAAGCATTTTCCATTTTCATCCTCCACCCCTGGCCCCTGGACTAGGTCTGTCTTGCTCCTGAAGCGGACCACAGCAGGAAGAAAATGGTCCTGCTGAAAAGAAGACTGGAAATAAAGGAGTCTTTAATTACTTTTAATTGCTTTGCCTATGTTACACCCCAGAGTTCTTATTCTTAATCCTGCTTCAGGCCTTTCAAAGAACATAGTTGAAACCCCATTCATTTTCATTTCTCAGTCTTTCCCCATCCTGTTCATTACCCCAAACTTTGTTATTTAAGCAAATCTCCCCCTCCCCCCAGGTTGTTTCAACTTCCCTAGCTCTCTGCCCAGGCTCAACTCCTCCAATTCTTTCTTACTTGCTCCCAGCCTCTTAAGACCAGGCTAGTAGGGGCTGCCTTTCGCCCTCTGTTCGCCTCCTCTTCCTGAGCCCCTTCACCTCATCCATTCCCCTCTCAGTCTCTCCAGATTCCCGGGCTGTCTGCTGGTGAGAAATCTTTGCTGCAGCGCAGACCGGAGTCCCCCGCGCGCAGCCCAGTGGCAGAAGAGGGCGAGGCTGGGAGGGAAGGCAGGGCTGTAGGGGAGGGAGACAGCCAGTCCTCCCCTGGAGCCTGCAAGAATGCGGCAGGGGCCCGGGGGCATGGGGAGGTACTAACCCCCCAGCCCCTTATGCGGGCTTGCAGACCTGGCCTCCGGGTCAATATCCGTGTAGCGCAGCGGAGCAGCGGCGGCTCCTGAAAAGCAGAGAGGGAGGCTCGGGAGCTGTCCATCCCCAGAGTAGGTTCCTCTGAGAACAGGGGAAGAAGAGAGAAGGGACTCAGTGAGTGGTGAGAGAAGGAAAAACCTGTCTCTAGACGGGCTCTGGAGCTTCGGGGAGACTGGGGCGCTCTGGTGAGCACCCAGGGGGTGAAGCGAGCTGAGCGGTGGGCTAGGGGCAGGCGAGGGAGCGTGCGCTTTGGGAGGGGACCCGCCGAAGGCTGCGAGGCTCTGGCTGGCGCAGGCTTGGGGGTGGGGGTGACAGGGCGAGGGGACACAGCCGGTGCCGAGCTGCGGAGCGCGTGCGGCGGCCTGGGCGCCAGTGTTTGTGTGTATGTGAGAAAGCGAGGGGCGAGCGGGAGTGCGAGAGAGGCAAAGACAGAGCGCATGTCTCATCCCTGCGAGCAGCCACTAGACGCTCCACCACCATCTTTTGCATGTGCAACATTTGCAGCCGGACAGAAAATCTCTCCCAGGGCGATGGAGACTGCGGGAAAAATCTGGCAGCTCGAAATGGATTGCTAAGGGGAAATTGTCATAATCATAAACCACCCAAACCTGCCTCCCCTTTTTTTCTTTTTCTTTTTTTTTTTTTTGTTTTTGTTTTTGGTTTTTAATTTTAGCGCCATCGTCCTCAATGCCTCTCTGAACAGCCTTTAGAAAGAGTGCGAGAGAAAGAGAGAGCGCGCGCCAGGGAGAGGAGAAAAGAAGATGAGGATTATTTGCAGACAGATTGTCTTGTTATTTTCTGGATTTTGGGGACTCGCCATGGGAGCCTTTCCGAGCAGCGTGCAAATAGGTAAGCTCTGTTCCGGTGGGTTTGCAGGTGGGTGACGAGCAGATATCCGAAAGTGAGTTAAATGAGTTGCTGATGAGCAATTCAGGGAAATCTCAGGCAGCTCCCTTCCCCACTGCTTCCTTTCTCGCCTTTACAGAAAGACTGCCTTTTCGGTGCAGGCTCACTTGGGATATGCACACAACTGCCCACCCTACTCAGCCCTTACTCCGTGTACACCTTTGACTCATGTCGCTTCAATAGGATTGGAATAAGTTAGAAAAAAAAAAAAACCCGTGCGGTTTAATTGCATTGTGTGATCTTCCCTTTCTCTAGACCATGAGTCGAGTTTGTTAGTTGTTGTTGTGTTTTTGGTTGTTTTTTTTTTTGTTTGTTTGTTTTTTTTTAAAATCCACTTCTTCCTATGCTGGACTCCGCAGCTTTCTCATTACCTAAAGATATTGGAGGAAACAAGCATTTTCACCCACACTCCCCTGCCTTTTCTTTACAGGTTAACCGGTTCCAAAGTTAGATCCCTTTCCCTTCCCCGGAACCTTCTCTAGTTTTATTTTGTTTTCCTCTTGAATCGTTTGCCTCTTTCCCTCTAACTTAACTCGTTTTCCCCAGACTCTGTCCATCCTTGGCTTTTCTAGCTCTTCTCCTCTCCTGTCTTTTAATGGGACGCAGCTATTGAATTTCTTCCAGCTAAGCCCAGCCTCAACACTGCATCATTTCTCGTGGACTGTGCACAAAACAGAGCTAATTAGGCTGAGTCCACGAGCTGCAGAAAAACAAAGTTCATTTCTCCTTCCTGATTTCCCTCTCCCCTGCTTGTCACCACATCCCTTCATTTCTGTATTTTAATGCAAATCCTCTTCGCTATTCATTTCCATGCATCTTAGAGAGAAATGCCCTGAGCTGGCTGATGTAGCAGTGTGCTGGGAATCAAGGGGAGGGCAAGAGAGAGAAAGGAAAACATACTAAATGGCCTCAGAGGTCATTGTGATCATGACAAATTGGGACAGGGAAAAGCTGAGCTGTCCTGAAGACTAAAATACTAAAGCATGCACCTAGGCACAAAGGACAGTGGCCCAAAATGTGGCAGAGAGCTCCTTAATTGTATGTGCTTGTGAATAGCAGTGAATTTGCCTTTGCTTGGGGTGGGTATAATATTTTCAAGAGGAAACACTGAATGTGCTTCTGCTGTCTTTACTAGGTGGTCTCTTCATCCGAAACACAGATCAGGAATACACTGCTTTCCGGTTAGCAATTTTTCTTCATAACACCAGCCCCAATGCGTCGGAAGCTCCTTTTAATTTGGTACCTCATGTGGACAACATTGAGACAGCCAACAGTTTTGCTGTAACAAATGCTTGTAAGTAAAATAGAAGTTGTGGATAAATTAGAAGAGAATTTAAATGAAGTAATAGAGACTCCTTCCTCTTTATCATTAAATTTTTTTGAGAGAGAAATTCAAGATTCTCACACTTGACTGGTTCCAGAGCAAATCATAGTTAAAAAAAAAAAAAACAAAATTTCATCTAGGAGATTCAATGGTGTCTTCCTTCCTTTTTTCTTTCTTTCTTCTTTTTAAAAAATTCGTTGTGTGGGTAATTCAAGTTTATTTCACCCTTAGCATTTGAGTGCTTTCCCTGTCAACTGAATGTCAAATTAGTGAAAATTGCACCCAATATAGGTTTTGATTCTGTTCCTTTTTCTCATTTCCTTTTCACTTGAGTAAGCATGTCTTCTTTTAAAGAAGACACATGTTCTCCTACACTGGTGAAGGCAATGGAGGGTTTGCTAATAATGACAAGGAGAGAGAAGCAGGAGCAGTGGTGTGGAGGATATATATTTTAGTCGGGTGGTTGACGCTGCAGATGATCTGGTGATGTCACTTGAGGCTGCCCTGCTCTTATATTCTGGGTTGTAAATGTCTCTTACTATCACTTAATGCATATATCCTGTGGCTATAACTCCATGAATCCTTGCATGGGTGCCAAATTGTGTTAGTCTTCACTCTACCTGAAATCACAAACCAACCCAGCTAGATCTATTATCCCACACAATGAAAATAGAGTGACCTCACATAATGCTTTAATGAAACAGTTGAATAGTGCTTCCTCACAAGAAGATGGTATAATTTAACGTAAAAAATATGAACAACTGTGTATTAATTTAAAACTCTCTAAAATATAATCAGTCAACATAGAATTTGCATTGCATTTTCTCTCTTGAAGGAAATACATATTTCAAATAGCTCCTTGGTTTTACATGCTAATTTCTACCTCTCAAAATTTATGTGTTCAGATAATGGTTATAAGTTATGTAAGAGACATAAGAATCATTTCTACATAAAATTCTGCAAAATAGCAATAAAATGTTTAATCTGAATTCACATTTTTTTTATTTTATCGAGTTGAGTATATTTTAATTTAAAAGTTCTCTGGGTATAAGAAAGTGTACTGAACAAACAAGTGAAATTGAAAACAAAGAGTTTTTAAATGTTTGGAAATAACTGTTTCATCATTTGATTATTTTAAGTCACATTTATGTTCCATTAATCCATCCAATACAGCAATCCCTTTTCCTTTTTTTCTTTTTTTTTTTTTGCTATCTAACTATTAAATTATTTTCATCGTGGTTTCATGAGACTATCAAAGCATGTAACATTTTTATATACTGCTATTATTGTATTATTATGCTAGAATGCGATGGTTCTATGGAAAGTACTTATTTTAAAAAGTCATTTATTGCATCTAGTGAGAAAATCAATATTATACTATATCAAGAGGAATGTTACTTTATCATCAAAATGAATGTAAGTTACAGCTAGGTTTGTGGATAGTCATTTTCACAAATTTTTTAGTTTTAGTTTCCAAGTTTTGAAAGGGATATGAACTTTCAGGAATAGTGTTTTACCTAGTACATAAATATTACCTGTTAATTTAAATATTTCTCATGTCTATCCTGAGATTATCTCAACAAAAACATTATCAACTGTTACATTAATTCATGGTTCAAATATATTTGTAGGTACTTTATTATCAACAGTAAATTACTATTGAAATATTAATTTTTATTAAATTTTGAAATACTTTCTTAAAGTGCCAGACATACTAGTTTATTTTAATTTGCTTTGATTTATTTCCTAAGTATTCTAAAGTTTATATTATGGCATTAGCTACATAAATTATAAAATACTAATCCTTTCTTCTTCCATATCATTCATTAATCTAATTTAGATTAATGTTAGCCAGTATTATTTTTTAATGTAATGAAAATATTTTGTAAAATACAATATTACTGATAAAGTACCTGTAAAACATAAAAAATTGGCAAGAAAATGAACAGAGAATGAGGAAGTAGGATAAGGTATAAAATATAGATGATATGCTATTCTTTAACATGGTATGATACAGAAAACTGACTCTAAGTAAAGTTTAAGTTTGCATATTTTGAATCCAAGTATAACACAAATTTACTAATACATTTTCCAGAGTCACATATTATTGATTTTGTGTCCATGTTTAAATATTTTTAAATATACAATGTAAATTAGGAAAATACATTTTCTAGTGAAGAAAGGCATTTTTTTGGACAAATGCTTATGCTGAATGTCCTTCAGGCAAAGCTAAGCAGAATTTGGGAAAAATCAATTGTCAGAGACTGTGGGTCGGATGATTGGTGTTTGTTGAATGGACTGACCAAAAAAACATCCACCCACACCCATGGTTTTTCCAGTCCAATGAAAGGTGAAATGTAAGCAAGCAGTAAGTCTGAGGCATTCTCATATATCAAACTCAATGCCTCTGAGTACAAAAGGATAAAAATAGCATTTTGGAGATATAACATGGAACTTATTTCTCGCAGAGTAGATTTTTAAATTTTTCGTCTTAGATTAGACATTAAGATATGTGACTGGCTACGTTTATTTTAATTGTTCTTTTCTGCAGTGTATTCTTGTAAAACTGCATGGCCAAGTCTGTCTGTGAATAAGGCCAATTAAACTTAATGTATTTATTTTATGGAAAGTATGCTCAAAGACAAAAAAAGGAAGATTAAAGAATAGAGTATTGCTTATTTATTGGACAGATATGATTCAATGCTGATTCTTCTGCCTCAAAATTAATTCAGTGATCCAGGAATACCTTGGGCAATTATGTTTGTAGTTTACACACTATATGAATTTAAACCTGATTATCTTAAATTTATAATGTTTAACTTAAATCCTAAGTTTCTGCAGGAGGAAAAATAATTTGGTTTATAATATTATTATTTTATTTTATAATATTTGTGTAAGGTTAAATGAAAATGCTTCCTTTTTAAAAATTATTCACATTGTTGGAATGTTTACTTGTTCAGCCTCAATGAAAGGAATACAAATTGTGACCTATCCACAGTATGGGATATGACAAAATGATTATTTTAAAAACAAATTTATTATAGTAATATTTTTAAACAAAATATGATACACTTGACCCAAAATAGCTATTGCAGCTCTCACATTAGTTAAATGGGATCTGTCCTTTTCAGAACATTGAGACAACCTGAAAATAGGTTGTTTTCTTATATTTTTTGCTAGTTAATGTTTAATAGTTAATGCAGAATTTTTTTGTGGATGGAATATTTTAAATTTCATCAGAGTAATAACCAAAATACTGAAGTACTATATTACTACATCTTCTAAAAGATAAAGAATATTTAAGATATTGCATTTATTAGTTTAGTCCAATTATATTTGAAATTAGGAGTTCTCTGATAGAATGATTAGTACTTTAATGAGACAGTCCCTTCACTATATAATCCACAAATACTCCGTTTCTGAAATGACTCTTAAATGTCAGATGAGCAATAGGGAAATACATAATAAAATAGATCAAGTACTCATGTATTGTCACTTTGGTGAAATAGTAAAAGAATTCTATGGAATATTTCTAACTTTTAAACTTGATTAGAAGGACCAGTAAGCTATTTTGTTTTAATTATGCTTATCTAATTCTCTTTCTCCATTTAAAATCTGTTTATGATATAAAAGATGATGGATTGAAAAGTTGTAACAATCATAAAAAGAATGAATAACATAACCTAGTAATGAAAAAAAATGTTCTTTTTTTTTGAGTATTAGGTCTATGGCTGGTTTACTTGACAATTCTAAATAACTGAAATGAGTACTACTTGTAAAAGTAGCTTGATATGTAAAATATCCCATGCTTCATCCAAATATATTGAAAATCGGAGACTATATCCAATAGGCTCTAGAGGTAGTTCTACCTGTAGAGAAAGTATTTAATAAAAACACATTAAATGTGAGGGTAGTAAATCTTTTATTTACTTTAATTCAACATTTAAAATTGTGCATTTTTCCTTTAAGGGACCTGAGGTCTTAAAAAAACATTGTCAGAGTTTACATTAAGCTGATAAAATTAACTTGCTAAAAATGTAAGTCTGATGGTTTGACCTGCTAAGTTGTTAGCAGAGATAGTTAGAGTTAATACAGTTTGACTTTTGATTATTTTAAGGAAAACCAACCAGGTGACTCAATTGTGGCTGCCTTTAGGTCTCTTTATTTTGAATTGATAGCAAGATTCCATGTTGCTTTGAAATAATTCCTTAGTTTTAAAATACTCTTTCTCTTCTCTTAATTTTCCATTGTTGAAGTTAATTTCAAAGATGAGTCATATTCTTATGGTTTGTCCCTTTCTTAAATGGTAGGATGGTGCATGACTTATGTTCATATATATATATATATATATATATATATATATATATATGTGTGTGTGTGTGTGTGTGTGTGTGTGTGTGTGTGTGTGTATCTCAGAATTGTTGGAGAATTAAGTTGTACATGAAACTGTTAGAATACCTCCATGAACTTTTTTTTTTCCATTTATATTCTTCCAACTGTTGTTTATTTTTCGAAGATGAAAATGTTTGCTTTCTGCCTTTGGGAATCAGGTTTAATCTTATTTTATAGAATTTTATTATTGTTCTAAAATTAAAAGAGTGATAAATCCAGTACACCTTACATTTTATGATAGCACATGGTTTTTTAAATTGCTTTCATATACAAGATTTTACTTGACCTCATGCAAGTCTTAGAATAAGACAGTCTGAGAAGACAGTCCTTATTTTCCAGCTAAGATAGCTTTGGCTCAAACAGTCCACTGATTTGTCAAAAAAAACATGTAGCAAATAAGCTACAGAGACAGGGTTTGAACACAGTTCTTCTGTTATCCTAGTACTTTCACTGGGAGTCCATAGTGTGTGAAAAATGTATCCATCCTGAGGTTATTTCAATTAAGAAATAAAATGAGAATTGCTATGTATCTATTTTTTTAATTTAATTGCAACATTTTAAAGAAAATAGGATAAGAC